GAGCCACAGGAGCAGGAGCAGAGTTTGCTCAATTCTTACAATTTGCTTCATTTCTAGAGCTTCTTCGGCGAACCATGTGCTCAAGTACAAGGAAAATGAACACCTTTACTTGATCATATCACCTCCATCCTGCGTTCGCGCCGACAAAGTGTCGACTTTGATGGACAATTATTTAGTTTCTTAGGTCGTTAAACGTCGCCATCTGCGCAATAGTACTTGTTTGTGGTGGCGGTGGTGGTGGTGGTGGTGGTGGTGGTGGTGGTGGTGGTAATGGTGGTGGTGGTGGTGGTGGTTATGGTGATGGAGGTTGGTGGTGGTGGTGGTGGTGGTCTTCCCATCATTTACATGCTCCCTAGACATCACCAGACAGGCATCAGAGTTTTGGCGCTACATCGTCATCGAGCACCTGTTCGCTGTCCGCTGGTCAGACAGACGATAATCTGCGCAAAAGGCGCAGACAACATACACACGCACACACACACACCTCATTAATTACTTACATTCTATTTACGGGGGGAGACGATTCTTTCGTTGAGACATTTCCTCCTGGCGGACAAACTGAACAGGGCTCAGGAGCTTCCCAATTTTCCGATTAAGTTTACAGCCTGCGCAGGTTGTCGTACATCGTATAGTGCTCTGACGTAGCTTGCGAATAAAAAAAGAGCGATAAAAGATAGTATTGCCGGCAAAAACAGGAGAGACTGGCATGGCCATTTCTAGCTCATTAGTCGTCGACACCTAGTCATACCCAGACTCAAGTGATGTCCCACCCGAGACTCCCTTTTTCATATTCAGATTCCAGATTCAAGTCGTCTAAACTTCAAGTTTGCACATATTTATATGTGTCTCTGTATGGAGCTCGATAACTTCCCTAAAAACGCATCATAATGCCAGCCAAAATTTTCCTAAACGCGCTTTATTTTCGTTTTTCTGACCTGTTGCTTCAAGAGCCTGTAAAGCCTTTTGTTGTGGCTAGGTTCTAAAGTACTCTCTCCTCCCTCTCTCTCTCTCCTAAATGAATTGCCGTTTTACCCCATACAAAGCCCTTTGATTCTCGTTCTGAATTTTCCTGCTCGTTTTTTCCTCCAAGGGACGAGGACAATGATCTGAAGTCCAAAATTAGGCAAAAGTTCACCCGCGAATCGGACGACTTCCTCGGCCAGGCGATTATCGAGGTTCGGACGCTGGGCGGTGAAATGGACTTGTGGTACAACCTCGGTAAGTCCTCCTGTCACTGTGCACTATGCGGCCTGCGCTTGGCAGAAAGAAGCGGGCATCTTTCTTTTTTTTTTCGAGGATGAGGACATACGGAGGATAAGCTTTCTCGTCTGTGATCCATCCTCTTGTTCCCTCTTCTGAGTAAATTATAAATGAGGAACGTAGAACTTTATCGGTATAAGCGGGGTTTAACGTGACATTAGAGAGTGTTACTCCTGGGAGTGATATAAATCAGATCTCCCTGTGTATGTGTGAGTTCAAATACTCCGGAAAAAGGAGCCCAGTAAGGCACATGGTCTTTGGTAAAATTCCAAATAGGGTAAATATTCCCGTGTCTTAAAGCTACATCTTAACTTAAAGCTAACCTTAACTCGAACTCAAACCTTTATCCACCCCGCCAGGAAGCTAGCACATAATCCCATGGAATATGAAGGTCTCATTTCCGTGACTTGCACATATAACACCAGTATACTTCGGTTTCAGCGTCTGACCCTGTATAGGGAATGCAGTTGTGCGGTTTCACTACGTCAACTGAACCCTCCCCCATTCCCATAAAAGCAACTTCACACACTAGCCTCGAACTCACTACTCTTTGATCAGAGTCAGGTCTCGAGTTCGAGGTTTGGGTAGGGCACCATTTGGGTCTGGGTATGACTGGCTAACGACGGCTAATGAGCTAGAAATTGACATTCCAGTCTCTCTTGTCCTTGCCGGCAATACTCTCAGCCTATACTACCAGATGTCACGGTTGTCAGGGCCTCTGTCGAGACCCCAGGCAGAGCGGGACAGATGAGTTCCGTTAGCGGTCAGGTGGATGTTCATCAACGAGTGCTACTGTTGTTTTTATTGCTAATATGAAGGTGGCCAGCCGATGAGATAATGCAGTTCGCATTGGCAGTACTGTGCATGTATGCGGAAAGGCTGGCGGGAGGATTGGGCATCGTAATAAATAACTCTTTCTCTGTAGCCTTCCTTCTTAGGTTGGGGTTTACATCATTTTTTTAAAATAAAAACTGGGAACTAAGTAGTACTACTAATACTACTACTACTAAGTAGTAGTAGTACTAAGTAGTACGTGACACGCGTGGATGAGCTGCTCAGGTCGTCAGCGATTACCCTCTTGTCACTGTAACCAGGTGATTGAAGAGGAGAAGGGAAGAGAACTATAGAAACAGTTCAAGTCTAACTGTAATTCGAACGCAAGTCATCGATTCTACCTCCACCTGCCTGGGGTACATTGTGGCCATGGTTGTTTGTGACTGTCGCCAGGAAGCATTCCACTCCGAATCCCGTCAATATTTTTAAATTTAGTTTAAGCGTCTGATCCAATTTTTAAAATTGTGCCTTTTGTAAAAACACACGCGCGCACAGTAGAGTGTTGCAAAAATTGGATTTTACTGCAAATTAGTGTCAGAAATAGGTGATTGAAAACTGTAATATTGCCCTAACGGCTCTATTAACCTCCTCTTACCATCTTACACCTGCTATTTTTGACGTAGAAAAGAGGACGGACAAATCGGCCGTCTCCGGAGCCATCCGCCTCAACATTTCCATTGAGATCAAGGGCGAGGAGAACTCGGCCCCCTATCACCTACAGTACACGTGTCTCCACGAGGTAAGCTCCCACCCCCAACCAAGCATTCTGGTCTTGAAGTGGAAGTGAGTGGATTATGTTATTGCCGCCACTGACGCTGACGATAATAATAACAGTAATATTAAATAATTATTATGATGATGAGGAGGAGAAGGAGGAGGAGGAGGGTCATTATGGGGTAGTCACAAAAGCGGTAGAGGGATGCCTATGACAGTTTCGCACGTTGTAGTTGGTTGGGTGGGTAACTTGACCCCACAAATGCTAAAACCCGTCACACCAGATCGGAGCCCTGTGGCTCAGCTGTTTGGAGTTTTCTCTGTACACAAAACCTTACTCTTGTTGTCTTGGATCCTAGCCCCATCCAGGCCACCATGCTTTTTTCACATTTTGCTCTAATGAACAATAAAACAATGCTGCCTGACAGAGCATCCTGACTGAACGTCAGTACGGAAAGTTTGCAGAAACCGTCTGAATGTGCACGCTGGTCCTGGTTGGTTTTCTTCTCGGCTTGACACAACACCAGGCGCTCACCAGACGAGGGGTATTACGGCCGATAGTAATCTAGGAAAAGACACGGGAGACTGAGATTACGATTTCTGGCCTATTAGCTATCGTCAGCCAGTCATAACCAACTCCACGTGGGTGCACAATTCGAGGCTTGAACTCGCGACTATTTTGATCAGAGCGCAACGCTTGAACCACGAGCTCGTTGTCTTGCCGGTCTAGGGTGCGATATATTAACAGTCACTGATGAACGTTCATCAACTGAAATGGTCATTTCTATTGAGGGGAAGAAGAAGTTTTGTCGAACACCGGAATCACGGTTTTATTGGTTTGAGCTTTCGGGCTCCTGTAGGAGTCCATCGTCAGAGATGGAAAACAGCAACAAATTTGGTGACTAGTTGCGGCGTGTGTACAAAACAACTAAAATTTGAACGTGTGGAAAATCATTAATTGTATGGTGTGGACGCCGACTCGCCACTGCTCAGACCAATAAAACCATGATTCCGGTGTTCGGCAAAACTTCTTCTCCTTCTCAAAATATAGTCGTACCTGGAATGCGAACATTTGCCTCAATGGTCATTTTATGGCTTATTATCCGTCATTAGCCCGTCATAGCCAACCCCAGGTGTTGCGTCCCGCCACCCCCCGCCCCCCACCCTCAGACCCGATCAAGTTCGCGACCTGTTGGCTAGAAGCCCCACGCTCGAACCCAATACGTCATGGGCTTGTCGGTGGAAATCGGGAGGTAGTCACATTGGTCCGCAGGCGCGCTCACTGTGAACATTATGTTTCACGCCCTGGTGGACTTGCATGCGTTAATGCGATTTATCGCAGGACCCGGGCCGAAAACCTTTTTCCCCACAAGCTAGCAATTAGGCAGGCTCATATGCAAAATATTCAGGTGAGCGGGGACGGTTGCTTCCGGGCAAAACGTCTGCAGGCTTATCGCCATATAACTCCCGTGTGTATATGGTCGTTGACGGTA